TGCGCATGCACTGGATTCAGGGCATCGTGTGGACCCCGCCGAAGCATTTCGTGCGATTTACAAGGTCCCCTCGAACTACCCTAAGCTAGTGGGCCAGCGCCTGTTAGCAACAGGAGAATTGGCCGCAATCAGGTTGCGAAAACCGACCCTGTGCGCCCAGAAGAACCTCGTTCAGGCTGCGCGTTTACCGTAGTCAAAGGTTGACTAACCACATACAACTTTCTGTTTCCTTTCGCTCTTGCCCAGCCTGTCTTTTGATTGGCAAAGTTGAAAGATCCGGATTGATTATTTGAAGAAGAAGAAGATGAGGAATAAGAAGAAGAAGATGAAGAAGAAGAAGCAAGGCTCTCCGGAACAGGTTTATTTAAATACTCACTTTCAAATAACTTGGTCGGCTCTTAATCGGCACTTAATCGATCAGAAATTTCAAGTGGCATGTTGTGTTGGTCGGCCTCATGCTGATCGATTTTTTTCCTCTCACTGCCTCGGCCTCTCGGGAGATGGTTGAGGGGCCTTTTGCCCGCGTGCTTTGGGAGTCACCACTCCGTCGAGGGGAGCTGATTGAACCTCTGTCAGGCGGTCGGTCTGACGGTTCTTGTTCTTCCTCACCGAGTAAACTCGCCGCAAGCTATCTCCGTACGGCCATCTTAAGTCCGGTGTGGTTGTTTGGTCCCGAGCTCTACGATTGTTATGACGTAGGACTTTTGGCTAGCTCGCAGTTGGTAGCCCGGAATGGGAAGCGGACGGCGACCTTAACCCTAATCCCAACCTTAACCCTAACCTCAACCGTTACCGTTAACCGTTAACCCTAACGGCAACCCTAAACCTAACCCAAGCCGAAATCGTAAACGTCACCGTAGCCCTTAGACAAAGCCGTAAATGAGAAGCCTAACCGTAATGCTGGAACCTATCCGTACACTCAAACCCTAACCATATCCCGAAAACCGAAGCCTAAAGGCATAACCCTAACCGGAAAGTCGGAAACCATTAACCGGTACCCTAACCCTAACCTCAAACGTAAAACGGAAGCCAAATGTGTCCGATGTGACTATGGAGGCCCACAAAATAACCGAAGTAAACAAACCCTCCAGCCACCTGTAATGCGGGTCGGGGCTACCAACTGCGATATAGCCGGACTTTTTAAGTTGCAGGAAGGTCTAGATGCCTGATGATATAGTGGGCGTCGGAGAACTTCGGCTCGAGAGTTAACCCTTCTAATTTTGTGTTGCCCCGGCCTAATATGGTAGCTCTCTGTTAATCAAAAGTATGCCCAGTTTCTCCAACGTGTGTTGCTAGGTGAGAGTTAGGGCAAAACGCCGGTCAACCATCTCCCGAGAGGCCGAGGCAGAGAGGGGACAGGAGAATCGATCAGCATGAGGCCGACCGACACAACGTGCCACTTGAAATTTCTGATAAATTAATTGCATTTTACGCTTTGACAGTGAAGAGCCGACAAAGCCCTCTAAAACGTCAGCATATAAATAAACCTGTTTCGGAGAGCCCTTCTTCTTCGTCTTCTTCTTGTTCTTCTTCTTGTTCCTGTTCTTCTTCTTCTTCTTCTTCTTCTTCTTCTAAAACTAGTTTTTATCGATTTTTTATTTGATGAACCCCGTTCCCACATAATTGTACCGGCCTGAAGGGAAGTTAGCAAAAGCCACGTTTGCTCGCCACTTTGTTTTTTGATTATTGCTATGGGAATTTTCACAAATCTAAAACAAAAAAAAATGCTTGAATCGATGACATCGCGTTGGTCAAGAATAATATTCAAAGTATAAAGGGTTAACATTGCAAAGTGAGCTGTCTTAATGGTCTTGTTGCATTCGTTCACAACCGGATTCCACGCTTCAATCATTCCATGTGCGGATTTTCTCGCAACTGGTCCAGCAACACGGAAAACTGAAAGCGTGCTTTTGCCGTTGAATGGGAGTATTTTGGAGCAATAACAAGCCACCTGTCGAGATGTCGGTTCATTTTTCTACATGGTCCACTGTGTGACCAGTAGAGTTACAATAGCATGCAACACACGGCTGTGAAGTATAGTCCTGCTTCAGTTAAATGCGTTCAGTCTGTTCCTTGGCTGCACAAAGTGGCCACCTGTTGGTGGACGATACCTACATTCAGACCTTGAACAAATATTCAGTGACCTCGGGGACGCTCCTAATGTAGATCGGTGCGGGCCAGATTGGCATTCCTCTTTTGTCAGACAAGGCCCTAGGTAGCAGATAACGAAGACAGTGTGGTAGCCACAGTTTCTAAAATGAATTCGTAAATGTTGCCCGTTTTGCGTCAACAGGTCAACTGTATGTGAGTAGTGTTATGGGTATGATTCGCGCGTCGCCCATTCACCGCACCAGTCAACTGACCAGCTAGGACAGTGACTGGGGCCTGAGAGTAGAAAGGGAGATTGAGGGCATTTTCGTCCCTACAAAAAACCTGGCGCGCTTGAAGCTATCACGGTGCACTCTAAAAGTCATGGCTTGAATCCGTCTAGACCTTAAGGTTCCGAAAGGTCAAAGTACTCACTAGAAGTGAACGCAGTGTAGACGGCGAGTTTCTTTAATCTTATCTCTCTGGTTTGCAGTCCAGTGACAAATGCCATGTTCCCCCTCTGCGTAACGAGCGCATTGTCCTCGATAACGTTAATGATAAGCAGATGTACAAAATAAGTACCCTGCCAATCACCAACACTGTTGACTAACTCGCGCTAATTAATTATTCATCATGGGGTGACCAAGTCGCTACCGCGCTCCTTTCAAACATTTGCAACGAAATCGAATAATCAGGCGCACAGATATTTTTTGTTTATCAATGGCGTCTTCTTCTCCACTATTTTTTTATGCACTTTTTGTAAATGATGCGACCGATTACACCCACACTGACGGGCAGGATATACGTTGGTCAAGCAGGACACGAGCTGTTTAGCTTGAGACCAGTGTTAATGCAAACATTACAGGGTAGCCTAAATACGCCTCAAAACAGACAGCTGTGTTCTGTGTTCAACAAAGCGACGACCGACTCGACGTCCGTAGTAAACTGAAAAACTGGAATGAGCATTTGCCGTATTGCAACCGCCTGCAAACCCCACCTCTATCCCATTCAGCGCAAGTCAAGACTTCCAAACCTCCTTCTTCTTCTTCTGTCATTTAGCATTCTTTGAAACTCATTGTTTTGGAGCACCGAGTTAGTATTTGCCGATTTTTTCATGTGAATATGTAGATGGTGTGCTTTGGGCAATGGCGAATTTAAAATTTGTCAAGCATAAGTATTGGAAGGTTTGATAATTGTTTAAGTCCAGGAGAAAAGAACTATGTTCTTCTTTCGTAATTATTAAACGGCCTAATCAGCACTCACCTTCGAAACCTGCATCAACCAGGATGTCCTTATTGGACAGATGAAACCAACAATCCAAAACGTTTCCTTACTTTGATCTATATCATAACGGTTAGCAATTCGTGGAAGACGGACAATATCCCTTTATGGGTTTCAAGCATTTGACCGACAGGTTTCACTGTAAGTGTAAGACCAGGAGAGATGACGTTAGCTGCGGCCTATAGCCTTTATGTACACTGATGAGTTTTCATTTTTTATGCAGTTACGGTGAAACGTAACGTGTAATTTTCACTGAACAGACAAAGACTTGTCCCTCCTTACGGGTTACGTCGGTTTGGTGCGCAATTTGATTTTAATCAGCAGTTCTCTTTGGATAACTAGATCCTTGGTTGTGTCCTTGCACATCGTCCTTCACTGGGTGCGGCCGTTTATTTTTCTTGGGTTGGGGCTGAATATTTTAAAAGCCGATCAAAACAAAACTATTGGTGTTATTTCTGTCTATTTTTGAAGAAAAAGTTCCCAGCTCAGCTGCTTATCTAGCAACCTCTTTACCGCCACTTTGTCGGGCTTCCCATGTTGAATGGTATGCACAGATCGAAGGAGGAAAGTTAATATTATCGTTTTTGCTGCACCTGAGAGTTGACAGACTACGCAAGCATACTCAGAGCCACAGGGGTGAAATTCCAATATCTGTTCTGTATTCGAACTAGAATAGGGAGCAGTATCTCCCTGTTAATAACTTTTTGTCTGCATAGGAAAGTAAGTTAGGTAAGTTAGAATGATCGATGTTTAGGTTATTTTACTTTTCTACTTAATATTTTAAGGTAGATCGGAATGCTAGGTTAAACATGACGCAAGTTCCGACGCTAGCCGTACCCTAAAGGTGACATTAATGGTAACTCGATTTACTCCCTGATTACTCAAAGCATGATAACATACTGTGTGTCCTGCGTCCTGATGTTAACTCTTTGGCCTACTCGGCCACGTGTGCCTCAATGAAGCTCTGCAGAAAAACACTGCAAAACAAACCACATTACCACGCGTTCCAGTTAGCCGACGTATCACACCTAAATCTGCTACACATCACCCGAAAGGGGTAAAAAATAGGCACCAAATATATATAACGGAAAAGAAAGTTATATGGCGTAAATTATCGCCAAACAAGGCGAAATGCACTCCTAACAGTTCTGTACGCTACTGCGCCCACCGTCGGTGTCAGTTGCGATAACGTTGATGGGCGCACACACATTCACCTCTCGCATCGGCCTGGTCGGTCACTTGCGAATCGACCGCACGGAGACTGGCGAACCAGTGCCTGGAGCACCAACCTATACCCACCAAGCTTGCATCCACCGCCCACACTGCCATCGCACTTTCACGTATCGCATGGGCCTATTCGGCCACATGCGCATCCACGACGACCTGCGGTAGACAACCGCCGGCTACACTACACCATAACACGCTCCTGGACTGGAGGTCTGAGGGTCAGGCTGCAGTGGCTCATTCTTATTGCGGCCTTTATGGCACTCCCACTCTGTGGGATCCGAGCCACGCGTCGGCAGCACGCCAAGGTGCGGCCTCGGTCGTGCCAGCCTCCAATCTCTGTAGTGCTGATTGAAATCCTGGTCATTTGTTGTGTGGACCAGAGGGTGTGGTGGAACGCCAAGGTGATGATCTGTTCAAGCCATCCAACTGCGGCCTCCCTCGTCTCCGATCTTCTTGACTCTGTCTTGACACCGGGCTCGGGCGAGGGAGGAGGAGAGAGTGTAGGTACATGCAGCGCAAGTCTACCGGCACTACAAACCCCTGCTCCCACCCCTGCTGCAACTGTGGGGCACACGGTGGACATCATCTAAATCGATGGTCGAACTATCACTGCGCCCACTCTCGACACCAGATGGCTTAAGCGCTCGGACAGTTCACTTCTGCGCGGGAGGGGGAAACGAGAGTGAGGCAGACGTTGGTGACTCCATCCTCGCGGAGTGTCAGCGCTTTTTTTACTGCAGTTAAGCTGACACTCGTGAGCCGATCGCGAGGTAATAAAGGTCAGAGATTGGAGGGCTGTCCAATGGCGATTCAAAACAAAAAATTGCATTTAGCCCTGTCTGTACGTGTGTGTGTTGCCTCCAAGATTTGTATGCGTCTGCTATGTTGTGATTCAGAAAACCGTGGCTGACGCGGCCTGGGTTGCGCTGGCAGTTCCCTGACACCTGGTTCCCTGCCGATAGACGAACCTGCACTCCCGCTGGGTAGCCAGGTGGTGAGCATGACTGCCCAACCCTCCTAGTCTTTCTGACCAGGTGTAGTCCAGTTGTTGTTGGTTAAAATCCTGGACAAGTGTTTGTTGTGAACCAAGGGGTGTTGCGGTACGCCTAGGTGCGGGTCCAGCCCTGGCAACCACCTGCGCTCTCTCCCGATTTCGGTCGTCTTGACTGCCTTGGCATCGGGAGGGAGTGCGATAAATGCTGCGCAATTCTACCCTCACTATAAATTAAATCACGCTCAAGTCACCATGCCTGCCTTCACCTTGCCCTAGAGCACATGGTGGACATCGTCGGCAGGACGGTCGAACTGTCGTCACCACTGTAGCGAACCAGGTGGCAAACGCACGGGACCAACACCGGGGCTAGATCGGAGTGCCGTAGGCGTGCTGAACCTGCTTCACTTTGCTGTGAAGCCCACTGTGGACAGCGTCCGTTGTGACGATCGAGCTACCGTCTGCCGAGGGCTGGGCCAATCACCGCCTCGTCATCTCCAAGATGAGGCTCTGATAGCAACACCGTAAGAGGCCAGACGTCAAACGTCCACCAGGTGAGGTAAATACTGTTCTTCTGCCTGACGGATGGTACCACCGATACCGAGGAGCTTGTCCAAAAGTTCAACAGTGCGCACCCCTCGCTAAAGTTCACTGCAGAGACCGAGGCAGATAACGAACTTGCCTTTCTCGATGTCCTTCTGCACAGGCAAGAGGATGGGTCTATCCAGCGCAGAGTGTTCCGAAAGAAAACCTGGACAGGACAATATGTTAATTTCCACAGTTTTGTCCCCCTTCACATCAAACGGAATTTAGTCCAGGGATTGGCGACTAGAGTGAGACGCATCTGCTCACCTGAAGCTATTGAAGAAGAACTTCAACAGCTGCGGAACACACTTCGGGAGAACGGATACCCAGATAGATTCATCCTCCGAAATATTGGGGAACGCGTTGAAAAGCCCACTGTTGAGACTGCGGAAAAGAAAGATGAATTCATAAGATTGCCTTTTAGAGGAGACGCAGAGAGCGAACTAGTCCGACGGCGCTTAACTACAGCTATCACGAGGGCATTTCCTGCGGCGAATTTACGCGTATGCTTCACAAACTCTCCCCTCCTACGTTTGGGAGGTAAAGACAGACTACCGTTGGAGGCCACATCAATGTGCATTTATTCATTCACTTGCTCCTGTGGAGCAGGATACATCGGCCGCACAACGAGACGCCTGGTAAAGAGAGTACGTGAACATATGCCCGTCTGGCTAGACAGAGGTGAGACCCGGTCGATTTCGAGTTCTATTCTCGCGCATTTAATCGATACGAACCACCGAGTCGATGCCAAGAAAGCATTTCAGGTTGTCTACCGGACACCAACATGCTTCTCTAAAGGCCTACGCCAACGGATACTAGCAACGGCAGAGGCAGTAGCTATACGGTTAGTGAATCCGGTGTTATGCTGTCAGAAAACTCTGACACAAGCGCTTTCGCTGCCGTGGCCAACGCCAACGCCAACCCCAAGTGATGAAGCCATGCCGCCTCAAATCCCTAATCACGATGATGGGTACTCCGTGTACTCAACCCAAGATCATTACTCAAAGACTCTCTTACCCCCCTCCCCTAGCCCTGACGACTAACACCCGCCGACCTTCTCATGCGGGCGGCGTGGGGATGATGAGTGTTAGTGATTTAATAGCCCTTGAGGCATCTATAAACACTGTTGATTTTGTACATTTTCATTCGTTTCATGTAATTGTATTGGCCTGAGGAAGAATTACCGAAAACGTGCGTTCGCCAACTTGACTTTTCAATTTTAACATGGGAATATTTGCGGAACTTAAATACTGTTCTGTTGAATTTGCCTGCTCCCAGCACCTGGCCCCGGAGGACAACGCCCCCGGGAGATTCAGTGGCGTCAACTACGGACTGCTATCCGTACGACTACTTTGGGCGTCCTCGGTCGCCAGCATCAGGACTGGTCCGACAAAAACGACGCAGAAAGCAGCTAACTGCCCCGCCGAAAAGCCTACATAGACCATCAGACCAACGCAAACAATGAGACTTTCATCAGCTGTTGTCGCTTAGTGCAGCAACAACTGAGGGAGATACAGAACGCCTAGATGATTCACAAGGTCTCAAAAATCAAGAGATATGCTGACTGCTGTGAAACAAATAATCCTTTGCGTCAGTCAAGGCGACCTACGGTACCGCAACCAAACGAACTGCACTTATGGAGGTAAAATAAGATTCTAAAATCAGAAGAAGAAGAAGAAGAAGAAGAAGAAGAAAAAGAACAAGAAGAAGAAGACGAGGAAGAAAAAGAAGAAGAAGAATCGATCGCTGGAACAAGGGCTTTATTTGCCTGACGTTTCGGATTCTCACTTGAACCCATCATCAGAGACAGTGGCAGAAAGGGGTGACTCGTGCACAGGAAGTTGCAGTATTTATAGGATGCAGTCGCTATGCTACCGCATACGTATAGTAATTAACCGCCCCCGCCTTCATCAAGGATTGTTGTCCGCTGGTACGCTAATTGCTCGATGGCCGGAATGAAAGTTGTTGCTTGCTGAAATCCCGTCATCCGTGTTGGATGCTGGCGTGATGATTGCTCGGCCATCTGGCTCACCGGCTTGCGCGCTCTCCGAGTGGTCAATTACTTTGGCTAGCCTATGCCTCAGTACGGAATATGGAGTGGGATGTCGGTGCAATTGTTGATAGACTGAGGTCCCGTAAACCATGACTCAAGCAACCCACGGCTCACGCGATCATCCCCTCTCGCGAGAATTTCGGCCTCATCGAACGAGACCCGGCCACACATTCAAGTTCGATGAGGCCAACACGGGTGATGTAATCTCTGCAATTAACAACTTGCATGCCGGCCACCAAGCAGTTAGCGCACCAGCGGGCAACAATCCTTGATGAAGGGGGGGGCGGTTAATTGCTATAGGTATGCGGTAGCATAGCGACTGCATCCTATAAATACTGCAACTTCCTGTGCACGAGTTACCCTTTTCTGCCACTGTCTCTGATGATGGGTTCAAGTAAGGATCCGAAACGTCAGGCGAATAAAGCTCTTGCTCCAGCGATCGCTTCTTCTTCTTCTTCTTCTTCTTCTTCTGATCAACTAGTTCCTGGAATTCGCAGCTTCACTTGTATCAGATTCTGAAATGTTAGGCTGAGCACTTCAGAAATGTCCTCAGTCACCCATTTACAATCTACGAGGCCACCATCGATTGACTCCCTCAAGCGGAGACGAACTGCAACAAGGATTTGTCGCCTTCCCTCCCAGAAACAATCCGCGCGTGCACTAACTGTCCAGCGGGAAAGCGTCGGGATCCGACGCGACTCTGGCCGAAGTCCACAAGCACGGCGGACCCTGACTGATGGATCGGCTTGCAGCATTGTACTAGGAGATGTGGCGCCAAGGACAAGTTTTTGAGTACTTCAGGGATGTGACAGTCGTCTATGTCTGCAAGGGTAAAGGAACCAGTAACTCTGTTCCAACCGTGGAGGAATCTCGCTACTCAACATCGCCGAGGAGATCGTTACTCCCATCCTCCGCAACAGTTTCGATTGTCATCTCGAGCAGGGACTTCTGACGAAAACATATTGCGGATTCCAACGCCACCGCTGAACCACCGATATGATCTACGCCATCCGCAAGCTGAAAAAAAAACGCCAGAAAATGCTGTCCCACCTCTACACTATCTCCATGGACTTGAGGAGAGCCCTCAACACGGTGAGTCGCAAGGGACTGTAGAAAATCTTACAGAAATTCGGCTCTGTCGAGCGATTCACGCACATTGTGCGTCAGATCCACAAGGGGACGATGGCGCGCGTCAGGGACAATGGGACCGTCTCAGAAGCATTCGGATTGACCAGTAGAATGAGGCAGGTCCGTGTGCTTGCCTCAACTACCTACAGCCTCATATTCACTGCAATACTGATAGATGCCTACTCTATTTAGCGCCTGGGATCCGCATTGTTTGAAGGACAGGCGGCCACCTAAACAGTCGGCACATGTAGGACTCAACGTGTCTCTCCACGGCTACTGTTCACAACCTGTTCTTCGCGGACGATTGTTCACTCAACACCTCGGTCCAAGAAGGCATCAAAGGAGTCTGGACGGCTTTCCCCCGGGTGCACAAAGTTCGGGCTGTCTACCAACACAGAAAAAACGGTCGTCATACATTAACCGCCACTGAACGCCGTATATAGTGTTCCTCGCATCCACATAAACAACCCCGAGCTAAAGACCGTGGACATCCTTGTCTACTTAGGCAGCACAATCCGACGCTGCATCAAAATTGACGACGAAATGGTTCACCGGATCTCGAAAGCCAACTAAACACTCGGTCAGCTGCCGAAAAGCGTATGAAACCGCCACGGTTTCCATTTGAACATCAAATTGGAGTTCTAAGAAGTGATCATCCTGAAAGCTCTGTTGTATGGTGTGGAGACCTAAACAGTTTATGGGAAACAAACAGGGAGACTTTATCACTGCTACCTCAGTTGTCTTCGACGGATACTAAAGTTGAGATAGCAGGACAGGATCTCGGACACGGAAGTTTTTAAATGCACTGGAATCCTTAGTATTCACGCCATGGTGAGCCAAATAGAACTACGATCAAGCGGACATCTCAAGAGGATACACAATGGGCGCCCACAAAACAGTTCTTCTATGCAGATGTCGCCACGAGTGCTCGCCGACGAAGTGGTCAAACCCTTTGCTACATGGATACCTTGGTGTGAATTTAAACCAAGCCAAAGACCTGAGAAGACCTCGCACAAAACCTATCGATGTTGAAAATTCCCGGACTACTGGATCAGGCATCAATGAAGCCAACTGGATAGCTGCCGTCAAAGCCATCAGGGAAGCTTGTAAGCCCAGCAGTTCCCGAGAGGCCGACGCAGCGGGAGGAGAGAAAAAAAAATCGATCAGCATGAGGCCGGCCAACACAACTTGCCACTTAAAATTAAATTTTTGATCGATTTAGTGCAGTTTACGCTTTGATAATGAAGAGCCGACCCAGCTTTTCGAAACGTCAGCAGTTAAATAAACCTGTTCCGGGAGAGCCTATTTTCTTCTTCTAGTTCCTGACTTGCAGCGTTAACCTCTAAACCCTCCCAGCAGACCTGCTATACCGACGGAAATTCCGAGCGGATCGGCCTAGTCGGACATCTCCGAACCCAATGCACCAACAGACCGTCAAACCCAAGTGCCGTCTTCCGACTGCCCCTGCTCCAAACCCCACGGCCACCACTCTCCCCATCGATACTCAACCGGCGCCGCCGATCACCGCCATCCCAATCGTCCCTGCAACAACCTTCGCGGAGATGACCAGCACCACAGCTCCCACTCTCGCCACTGATTAAAGCGCTCATGACGGCCTGCCAAACACCGCCGCCGCCGCCGCCGCCGCCGCCGCCGCCGCCGCCGCCGCCGCCGCCGCCGCCGCCGCCGCCGCCGCCACCACCACCACCACCACCACCACCACCACCACCACCACCACCACCACCACCACCACCACCACCACCACCACTCGCATCACCTCCTGCTATGCGGACGCAGTCCTAGCCTGTCCTCATTGCGATAGCAAATTCACCCCACGCACCGGTCTGGTCAGTCACTTGCAAATCCGTCGCATCGCAACCGACGCACCAATGCCAGGAGGCCCCATATGCTCTCTCCGTAAGTGCACGTTACTCGCTGTGCGCCCACCATACCATACGGCGCGCAGTGTACCTCATCGTTAACGATTGTCGGATTGCCATCATGTGTCCAGCTGTGCACTGTAACATACATCAGGTGGGCCAAATCATGAAATGTCAGTCGAAATTTCGAAATTCGCTCCCGTTTCGAAAAGATCATTTAAGTAGGCTTGTAAAACTAGTCATCATATGACATAATTCTATAATGCTTCAGTTACCTCAGGATACCGGCTTTTGAACGAACTTCTTTCCGTCTGTATGCAAAAACTATACGCTGAAAAAATGACAACTTAAGAAGCATGCACTTTTCTCATTGATTTTCGATGCCCTTAAAAATTTACTTATATTTCATGGAAAACATGCACAGAAATATTCCTTCTTTCACTTTTTCGGTAGGCAATTAGGTCTTTTTCCAATCTTTTACTCAAACGAAGGGTATAACTCGCTTTTCAAAAACGTTTCCAATTCCCGAATAATTCCGAACCTGACCTGCCGTTACACTTGCAGTCAGGGTTTCCAAACTACAAGTCGTATATTTTTCGTGTACGGAAAACCACTCATTTCTCTACTTTAGTAACAGGGGATTATATAGGGTTCATAAAATTTGGCAGTGGATTTGATCCATATTGCTAAATTTGCAAGCCACATTGGTAAATGCAGAGACATGACGATTTATGAACGGCCATTTCACGGTATTTAAAAGTCCCACAATTAGAAAATTTTTTAAACCTAAATTATGTCCCTCCTTCGAGCATAAAGGTGGAAGAAGACGTAGATATCTACCGAACTGGCAAAAGAATGAATATTTTTTATGTGAAATTTAAAAAAAATATAATAGAACTTTTAGAGACATCGAAAATCAATGATAAAAGTGCATGCTACTTAGGTTGTCATTTTTTGCAGTATCGTTTTGGCATGCAGTCGGAAGGAAGTTCCTTCGAAAGCCGGCATCCTGAGGTAACGGAAATATTATAGAATTGTATTGCAGGTTGACTAGTTTTACAACCGGACCGAAAACGCATTTCGGAATTTCGGTTTATTTTTCATGAGTTAGCCCACCTACTGTATTAATGCATTCCATTGATTCATGCACACTGTGAGATCTCGGTGGTATGGCATTACAGTAAGGATCGGGCGAAGGCCCTCAAGCATTTGTGGCATACAAACGATACCTACTAGACTTATGTAAGTGGGTTTTAGTCTGAAATGATTATTTCGGTTTGGTGCTTCATCGTACAAGCTTGGGTCGTCTGTTATAGACGACCCGATGCGTTATCTACAATAAACTCAGCTCAAAGAGCTGAGAGACGATCGTTGCAGACACTTACCGTTTATTTTTTAATTGCCCTGATAAATTTTGGTTACTATATGTCAATGCATTAGAACTTCTTCGCCTAAAAAAGTCTACCAATCATCTATACTTATTTTACCATTCCTCTATGCATAGATAGGGCCAGCTCGTAAAATCCCTTTTACCACCTTTCCCTTAAGACAGGCACCTTTGGCTGATCGTTTTTGTGTTTGGGGGACTTCACCCTTTGCTACGTGCAAGCGTAGCCAGAGTTCTAATGGCTCTCATAGCAAAACGTTCTGCGGTTTCATCAAGAAAATGATGCGCGTGAATATGTGTACAGTCGTTTCAATTTACCATTTTCTAGGCATTCTTGTGTCCGGTTTCGGTCATCTTCGCCCATCCTGTCAGTACAGGCCCAGTTTCAAACACGATCCCTTTATTGATGATCCATTATGTAATTTCGTTGGAAGGGGGAGTGATGACAAGCGACCCAACCCTCAGTTCTTTCATGGAAAGCACCTTTTCGCACGTATTGGTGTGTTTATCGTTTTCTCCCCTGTTGTTAGCTTTGGGGACGCTTTCACTTTCTACCTATCTAGTGTGGTATATTTGGAGTAATTGGCAATGTCCTTGATGACCTGACCGAAAACGGTAGTTAAATATTCATGCCAAAATAAACATGCTAATAAACTGTTGTCAGTAGCATATACGTTTTGCATATAAATGGTTCAGTGGCGTGAGACGGCAACCCAAGCACTCGCAGTCTATGCGAAGGTTACGAATCGAGCCTCAGATGGTCCTTTCCATGTACAGTTGAGATTATAAATACAAATATATACAATCAGCACAAAATATAGCCATTTGTTTGGTTTGCGGGAACAAGTTGCACCAAGCGTGTGGGGATGCGTCACATAGGAAACGAAATCGGGAAATAAAGTTCGTGACTGGCCGTAGATAGTCCTGCAGTGAGAGTCGTCTTTTATCAAAATCCAAACGATCCAGCTGCCTTTTAAATGTAACCATGGCATCATATGTTACTATTTCATTCCGGAGCGAGTTTCACGGTAGAATTACCCGCTGACTGAAGGGAAACTTCCGTTGGTCTAGGTGCGTACATTCGCGTATGACTTTTTACGTAGGACCGCGCAGGTGACTCATGTTCGTAAACTCAAAGAAATCTTCAGATTAGAGCGAACAGTCATGCCTGCGGATAATGTGGAATGTCCAATTTGTGTCCAGCTCGCTAATGTAGGTAGTAGAAACTGACCTTTTAGAAAAAAACCTCAAAACACGGGCACTTCCTGGTCGCCTAGATTATCATGCAGTTTTGACAAAGGAGAACAACACCAAGAGAGCCAACACCAAGGTGAGCGCCCCCTACCATTGCATATTCCCGATCGAAAACCGACAGGGCGACGGGCTCGTGGCCCGGTGGCTGGAGGCGTGGACTTCTAAACCAACAGGTCGCGAGTTCGAGGCTCGGGTGTTCTACACTTCGGGCTTGGGTGTGGTTGGCTGACGATGGCTAATAAGCCTGAAATGGCCATTCCAGTCTCCCTTGTCTTTTTTTGGTAATACCATTCTGCCTATATATCATGCGCCGCTATGCGCGGCTGCTGTTTGGGCTCCAGAGAGAGAGAGAGAGAGCTCTTAAGGCACAACGGAACGAGAGAGTTCCGTATGAACGATCGGTGAGCGCCCCCTACCATTAGATACAAATTACTGCTCAAAAGACAGTTAATCACATGTTAGTAAAGATTATAAAGCCTAAGGGTTTTCGATTGTCACCGAGATTATATAAAAGTTATGGGTAGGGTCGTTGCCTGATGATTTTGCAAGCATATTAATAATAAGATTAGACGTGATATGTGTAGTAGAAACCTCGACTTCCGTAAAGGTTGCACCGGCGGATTAGCCGTTCTTCTGGAGTTAACAGTGGCGCTGTGACCTCTGTTTTTTTCAGCAGCTGAACCCTGAAGATTAGGAGTCCATTTATTTTTCGCACGTCTTATGCATGCTCGGATTTATGTTAGGTTGCCAAGCCGCGTGTACTTGACAATGACAAACGGCTGGAAGACACGTGTTTTCGGGTCAGCGTTTCACAGAGTTGAGCCGGCTTTGCACTGTGAAAAGGTCTAGTGCACACAAAACATTGAATAAAACTGCACGGTCAGCACGTGCCAGAATCGGCAATTTAATCAGCCAGATTTTAGAAACTGCTAAAGATACGAAAATCTCACAAGGAAAAGGCCTCTGTCCAAAAAAAAACGTGTTCGATGGGACAGCCTCGCAGAGTTAATTGACTGATTGATTTTAGCTTCCTAACCTTCATGGCTCCCCGAAAGAGGCGAAAATGTTGACGATACACCATCTACACATCCAGTCCCCTCTCTCTCACGGTGAGTGACTGTGTCAGTGGTTCTGCTCAAGGACACATTGGTTTGCTTGTCTGATCAACTGGAAATAAAAGTAAGTATATCCAAACGTCCCTGCATTAGTCACAGGAACCTTGACGGTGACGAGACAAGTCGCGAAAACGCTTCCTAATGTCCTTCAGTTAACAGGAAGCGTTCATGAAATTGTCCTCAAAATTTACATCTGGTGTTGACGAAAACGACCCACCTTATAAGTTTTAATTAGGAATGTATGTGTCTGGTAACCATGATAATGTCTACAACCGAAAACTTGGCCGTAAAAGGAGAGTCTGCAACTTCATCAAAGCAGATTTCTGTAGGAAAAATATAAATACTTGAATGGAAGAATATACGTTAACCGGAAAAGGTTAGTTTGTGTTCTGCATCTTCGGGTTGCGATTTCGGCCACCCATCTTCCGAGACTGATGAGTAGTGTGTACAGATCTCAGTGTATGGCAGATTTGGTTGGATGTGCTGATCTTCAGTACAATCCGTGGGTGAAGATGTACTACACTTCCACCGCGATCTAAGCCACCTCCGCGCTCGTTAACCGTAGTGATAATTGGCGGCCCGATCGCTTCACGCCTTCGTTGTTTCCCTTCGAGTCGGTTTGCGAAACCAAATTAGGGGAAAGGTTTATCTGGCGGTTGACTGGGCAGATGGTGGACCTCCACGCTTCTTGCACCTAGCTGTATGTGTGATTGTTTCTAGGCCCACGATCTAAATGACACCAAAATAATGTGTCCCTTTGCCTCCGATCTCTGGTCTGGCCCTCAAACGGCCAACCGATACTCATAAACAGGTGTTTGCAGGTCTCGGGGCAAGAGGATAGGAAGCACAGACTTCCGTTCCTGCATATTCTCCTCTACAGCCAATCGAACGACCAGGTGGCGACCGCAGTTTGCAGGAAATCGACCAACACGCTGCAAATACTAACCTCAAACAACAATTCGCCAGGCCCACGATCTAAATGACGCCAAAATAATGTGTCACTTCTGCGCGGCATAAATTCCTACCTCCGATCTCTGGTCTGGCCCTCAAACGGCCAACCGATACTCATAAACAGGTGTTTGCAGGTCTCGGGGCAAGAGGATAGGAAGCACAGACTTCCGTTCTTGCATATTCTCCTCTACAGCCAATCGAACGACCAGATGGCGA